AAACAGATTCTAAGGGTCATATTTTCCAGAAACGGCATACCAAAAACCCTAGTATCTGACAATACACCAGAATTTTGTGATGAAGATCTTAATTTATGGTTAGAAAAAATAGGATGTAAACCATATAAGACACCCCCATATCACCCAGTCGAACAGGTTAGCGGAAAGAATGGTGCAGACCATAAAAACGGGACTAAAAGCATGCTCTCAGCAAAAAGAAAAAGTAGTATTTTTTTTATTCTTTTTATATAGGAATATATAGGAATTTTTTCAGTATCTGAGATGGTGACCTAGGAAATTTATCTAAAAATGGATGGTCTATGAAATGACTTATAAGAAAAAGTAGTGATTATGTGGAAAAATAGTCTTTGTATTGTGCTTTAGCCAATGATATTATTGTGCTCTCTGTATTTGTTTTAGTTAACATGGAAATAAATAGAAGCATTACTTTATAAGCTTCCATCAAACTAGTTTTTCTTTGTTAACAATTCAGTCACTTTACTTTCAGTACAAAAGCTCAAGGGAAGTAACTAGTATCATGCAAAATCTAGAATTAAACAATGTTAATTATTGAACAATACTGGAATTTTTTTTTTAAATTAAATTATTGTCAAATCTTTGAATAAGAAAAAATATTTTAATTCAAAAGATGCTTTGAACATATGCATGTCAGTGCATCACCCCTCTCTCTCTCTGTCTCTCTCTGTCTCTCTCTCTGTCTGTCTCTCTCTCTCTCTATATATATATATATATATATATATATATATATATAAATATATATATCATAAAGAAACAATTTATACAAAGAATTAAATAGCAATGTTAATGTGATTAATGGTGAAGTGACTTTGCTAACAGAACTTATCAATAGTAAGTTAATGTTTCATTAAGTTCTGTTAGTGAAGTGGTTTTGCCATTAATCACATTAACATTGCTATTTAATTCTTTATATAAATTGTTTTTTTTATGATAGAAAATATAAGCTGCACACTCTAATATATATATATATTTAATTGTGCATTTGATAGCAGTCACTCTTTTATACAAGCTTCATTAAATATAATTGACAAGTTTTTATTTAATTTTTCTTGTGTTTTTATAATTTTCTTCTTTTCAGGACTTAAATTATATAGAAATTGCCCAAATTTTCTATATGTCCAAGCACTTTTGACTATAGCTTTAGCCATTATCAAGGATGATTTTATTTCTACTTTTAAGTGAATGTATGGATTGTTTTAAATTTAAAAGTAAAAATAAAATTATCTTTGATAATGGCTAAAGGTATATCTGAAAGTGCTTGGACATAGTGAAAATTCGGGCAATTTCTACATACTTTGTCTGAAAAAGAAGAAAATTTTAAGGACACAAGAAAAATTAAATAAAAAAATATTTAACCATAGTACCTTGTCAGTCATTTTTAATAAAACTAGTGTCCTCATTTTTGTTGTTTTGATCAGTATGTTTCATTTCCAAAACATAAACAAATTTTTAAAGAATTAATGTATTTATTTTGAATCTGACATTTTTGTTACTTCAAATCTTATTCTTAATGGATTCCTTTGTTTGAAATAGGAACCCCATTTTTATTTAAACTCTATGTATTACATCTATTGGCCAGTGCACTGCTTTACATTTTGGATACAAAACTAAGCAGATATAGGCTTTTGAGAAAAATCTGTGAGAGAGAGTGTGAATTCCTTAGAAAGGAAAAATCTCTGCTAATTAAATTTTATATTTGATTAGTTCAGATAGTTATATTAGAGATCATGTCTAAGTATGCATTTGAATCCTGAATGCTGATTTTCAAAACAGAACAGCCCACTCCTCTTTTGAATAATGAAGCAATACAGTCTTCTTCCTTTAACTCTAAGTTTGATAAATAGCTGCCAAGGCTGTGGATGGTTAGGGGGGCGTGGGAATGAAAATTTGTTCATCTAAAAATATTGAATTCATTCATAAAAAAAAAGAAAAGAAAAGAAGAAATCAAATAAAGTCCAAATCCAAAATTTTTATATTCAAGAAAATTTTAAAGTATTTTACAAAAATTGTTTCTTTTTTAGTCCATTTTCTGTTCAAATATTGATAGAGCAGCTCAATTCCACAATGAAATAAACAAATTGCAAGTCCAACGTCGAACATCCAGAGGCAGAAAGAAATGTCAAAATCACAATCACAAAATATGTAAACTGTCAAAAAATTCAATGCACAAGCCAACAGTTACATGCAAGCTGATGGAAGAGATAACAAAATCAAAATGTCTCTCCTAATTCAAGAACACCAACTGCTTTTATTGAACAATTTTTTCGTTTGCCAATGGTTGGAGAAGACAAAACATACTAACATCCCAAGAAGCATTTATGGCAACACTTGCAACTGACTTGTTTCTATTTTGGTTATTTTGTCTTCAGCATATCATACAAAACAGACATGCTCTTTTTCTTGGTTAGTGACTTTCTCTTTCACCACAGTTTCTTTTTTGAAGAAAATTTTCATACAGCAGAAAATAAAATAGACACAAGGAAATTTATATATGAACCAACCCCTTTACTACTTTGACTCAAACTGTTACTCCAACTGCTACAAGAACTGGAACTCTTATTTGTTTTCTGAACTACTGTCCTTCAGAGTAATACCTCTTGAAGATGTGTAAATTTACATGTTTTATATGGGTTAACATCAACATGTACGTAATTTTTGTTATATCTGTACATGCTTTGCTGAGTCTGGTTTTCTTTGGCCTTAGTCTGGTTTATTGAGTTTGTATATTATAGTATTGGCAACAATTCATTAGCTAGTTTACTTAACTATATAGGTAACAAACCTCTCTATGATGTTAGTATTGTTAATATAGAAAATAATACAATAGCCAATCATGAATGTTCCTGCTGGGAAAAGAGATGACTCTGGAGACTACTTGATTTGCTTAAAAGCAGGCCTCTCATAACAACTAACAAAATTGTAGGCCAAAAGGCCACCTGACAACATGCAGGTGCACTGTTGCTGTTGCTGTCACTGTCATCACCATAGCCACCTCTCTCATAACAACCATGACCTCGCCCAAGCTTCATTAATCTCACCTGACTCTTCAGACACAGAATCCAACAGAGACCAGCTTTGACACCGTCAGGCTTCTGACGCCAACTATAACACCACCCAACTCCAGGTCTCCATCACTGTCACTACTACAACCCCTGTTTTGTTGATACCACATTCAACCTGAATCCAACTGAAATATTCCACTCGACTGTTATATACAAGCATATGGTTACAAGAAAGAAATACGACAACAGTAGAAATAGATTTACGTGGTTTATTTCAACAGTAATGTGTGGGTTTGGGACAGCTACCTTGTGGTAAAGTTCATAAGCTGGCTTCGGATCTAGGTCAATCTCTCATAGTAGTTCACACACGTTGGCGGTGGTTGACGCTCCCCTGCTGTCAGTAGCTGACTGTGACAGGTCTCTACTCTGGGCACCTGTTGACTGCCTGTTGAACTTCCCTGTGACCCCTTTTATAGCGGTTTTTTATGGCTTAACTGGCTCGAAAAACGAAGCGAGTATAATTAGGAGGGAAGCATTTTTATTGGACGAAAAATAGATCACTTTAAATATTATTTTATTTTTCGACCAGAACACGTGTGTCAGGAACATTTGTAAAGAAAGATAATGGTCATTTTGTGACGGGGTTTGTCCTGTTTACATCCAGTTCTTACTCTTGAGTATTTGCCTGTAAATCAGCCGAGATATGTCTTATTTTATTTTATAACATGACCAACTACAGGCCTACCTCACTGTCACCATTGTGAACCTATTTCATTGATATAATTTTCAATCAGAATCCTTTCAATCAATGTTTACCAGCTACACCTAATCTCTTGTTGTCACTGGTGTAACCTTGGTAACCAACATGTTCTACCATGAATTAACTCACCACCCTGACCTTGAATTAACGAACACGTCAACCCGTCTCACCAGGCAATTTGGCTTCAACATTTTAGCATCACACAACCACCATCCCATCACAGATGTTGATTTCAACATTAAAGAAAGGTGTGCATCAAACCCCACCAATAGCTAATCCACTCCATACCTATTCTATGATCTTGGCCAAACCAACTTGAGAAATCAGTCAACTCCCGGCACTACTGACAACACACTTAATTGCTTTACTGACAAACAGCAACCGAAGACAACATATTAACAATTTTTGCCAATTTTTTAACACTATATAAATATATCATGTATATTTGACGAATAAACTTTTGAAAATTAAATCTTTGTTTTTTCTTCACAACCAAATGCTTGTTATAACACAACTGAGGCCAATCTATCAATTGGTTATACTCACAAATTGGAATCTGCAAATTTGCAATCTTACTTTAAAAATATGCAACAAAGATTTTAAAACTCTAAAATGTCTTAAACACTGTTTGAGTGTTTGATCAATATTCTTAACATTGTATTTTCAGCTAAAAATAAAAAAAATAGTACAAATAATCTCATAACAACTTTTATGTGTAGTTTTTAATTAAATTTAACTTTTAACAAGTAATTTTTTTACTTATTATTTATTAATTAGGAAAACATCCTTTAAAAGTGTCTCTAAAAGAAAAACGTTGATGTAAATGCATTTAAAATTTACTAAATTTGTATTAAAAATATTTTAGGATGAAAATTTTATTGAATTATTAATGAATGTCACAAAATTCATAAAGTAAGAATAATAAATAAAACAACTTGTTTCTTCCTATGTGCCAGCATGATTTTTTCTATTTTAGTGTGGGGGGTGTTTTAATTAATTAATTTTTTTTTTCGCAAAATAAAATATTCGTGTTAAAACAACAATTACAAAATAATTATTATCGATGTCGTAACAAGTTGTTATTACCCTTGTGGGAACTCTTTTGCACAAAGAGATAAACATGCTACTATTTGAAACTTAGTTTGAAAAACGTAAAGAAATTTTATAATTTTTTTCGATTCTATTGCTAACTAAACAAAATGGAAATTATTAGTAAGTTGAAAGATTCTCATAAAGGCCAGTTGAACTATGAAAGAAAAACTGACTTTGGCCGTCTTAGTGTAAGTATATATTTAGACGCCTTGAGTTTAAAAAATATTTTTAGCTCTAATTTTTGTTTTCTAATATACTGACTAGCCCGTTTTACATCCACATGGTCTTCTTAAAAAATTATGTGGCAGAATTTTATATTGTTTTATCTGTTACGTGTTTATTTTTATTGCTTTAACTATTTTAAAACTTCGTTTGTATTTTTATTTTTTAATTCTGTTTACTTGATCATAAGCAATATAAAACAAAAATCTTGCCACGCATCTTGTTTATTATTTCCGTGTACGTGTTATTAAAAATTATATCCATTTTAGCGTTTCAAATAATTTTTATACACCAAACACCGATTTATTTCCTTTCATCGACTGTAACTTTTCTGAACCAGACTCATTTTTTTAACTATCGGCAGGTTATTCCGCGTTATGCAGAAATTGTTTGTAATACAACAAAATAAAATTAAAAATTGCGTGAAGCTACGAAACTAAATATATGATGATGAAAGAAAGCATCTATTTTGAAAGAAAATGTTCCGATAAATCAAAATAAAAACTTTATGAGACACAAATAACTTGAAATTGCAGTTTTCTTTTGGGATTAAATTTAGATTTTACTTACGGGTAAAAAATACTTGAAATATATTTTTATTTTTTTATTTTAATTTAACGCTACTTTTCGTTTCTCTTTATTTCAAAACAAAATGCAAGAATTTTCATATCCAAGATGTGGGCCTATAATTCTTGTTCAAGAAATTTATATGCAATTCAAGGGAGACGATGGGTTTGAAACGCTAAAGTAGAATATGACATCTTTTTTTATTTCATAATTGTTTTTTTTTTTTAAATAGGCACAGAAAAGAGAAAAAGTGTACTTTAGACTAGTTATTGTGGATATGAGCTGTTTTTATTATTTTTTTTGTGTACAGAACCTACTTTTTATTTTATTTTTGTCTTGATTATTATTGCTTATTGTTTTTGGTGGAGTTTTAAAATAGGTACTGCGACCAAAAGTATCTTTTTCTAAAATTTTAATTTGTTTTTCCTAAGTCATATCACGAATTATGAAAAAGAAAAGATAAAAAATTGCCACCCCCTTCTTACCCAAGCCAAAACGTAATCCTCTAACACCGTCGTTTAGGGACCGCGAAATATAAATTTCAGTCACATTCGTTCTTACCTTTTATTCTTATTCCGTATTTTCTATTGATAAATTATGTAGATTATTATTTTAACAAAACTATTAAAATTAAATTGCACAAATTCGTTTTCTTCAACAACTGGAGGAAGGTCTCAGCGTAAATTAACTGAAAATGGGGATAAGAACAAAGAAAATAATGATGCAAGTTCAAAAGAATTGTATTTCTCCTTTTTATTGCTTAGATTATTGAAATTATTTTACTTTTACAACTCTGCTTTTTCGTTTTGCGCTAAAAGGCCACCATTTCGACATTATCACCTCATTTATGACCATAGTGAATTTTCATAAACAAATAATAGTGTATAGGATGAACATTCTTCATCTTTTTGGTGGATTCCACTGGGTATTCACATGACTGTGGCAAGAAGCCTTCTCATTTCCAGCACCTTTCTCAGTATTCTCAGACATAAACACAGTCTTCTTAACATTTTCTCAAAATTCTAAATCCTCTTTAGTGTTTTGATAATATAAATATCGTTTTTTATATAACAAATTATTTCAGTGAAAATTTATACACAGTTAGGCACATGTATAAGGTACAAAAATCACTTGATGTGGTCACCACTTTCTCCAGATGGGACCAGAAGCTGAAGCAGGTCTTGTTTCTGTCCGTGTTGACCATGGTATCCCTAATAGCTGCCTTAAGGGCCTCCTTGGTATTGTGAGGCTGGCTGTTTACCTCCCTCTGCAAGACACCCCACACAAAATAGTTAAGGATTGCAGTCTGGGCAACCAGTGGTACAGTGAGCAAGTGGCACTTCTTGAGTATTTAAGATTTATAATTCAAGTCCTTGACAATACACCCAATTGTTTGTCTGCTGGTGCCCAATTCCTTGGTGATTTTTCTCATACTTTTGCTGGGGTTCTCCTTGGCGGCATCCTGGTGGTGGCAGAGTGTTTCTCATGAGTCTTCTGTTCTGATCTGAAATTGTCTTTGTTGTCTGAGGTTCCATGTGCTTTTGCAAGGTTGTAGACCATAGTTTTAGAGTATTTAAACTGTTTAATAATTTCCTTGGCTTTGCAGCTAGTGTGAAGGATCTCCATAACAACAGCCTTATGATTGTATTCTGAAATGTCAGTTACTAACAACCTCATGCATCAATTTCCAGACAGCTACTGAGGTGTAATACTTTCTAATAGTATTCTTGAAATTTTGCTACACTGTAACATCACAGCACTGTTGCCACTTAAAAATTTCTGATTTATCTGTGTCACACTGTATTTATTTATTAAAGTACAATACTGAATTGGTTTATGCACACAGGCATTTTTGTTTACATTTGGGATTCCCAAAGTGGGCAGTAGTGGACTGCACTGGAAGTGGTAGAAAGATACAAGTGGGAAAAGGGTGCAGTTAGAAAAGAAAATGCAGGGCATGTGTGGCTGCAGGGTGTCATAACAACCAAGCATTTTTTAATTAAAATCTCTATGACAAAAGTTATACATAAACACATAGGTTTATTTTATTTTGTTGTTCAGTGTTAGAAGTTCATATATTTGTTTGTATCTTGCTGATGTTATCTGAGCAGGATGCACCATGCAGCAGCCAGATCAGACACTTGTGTTCTGCAGGGTGCATTTTGTAGGTGCAACGATATAGCCACGGATGTTCGTCCAGTGGCATCTTATCTAATGGCATCAAAGAAAAACTGAAATGCATATGTATGTTTATAGATTTGGATTAATTTGTTTTGAATATGAAATATGCCTAATACCGAGAAAGAACTGTTTTACATGGAAAAAGGCTTTGGGGATATGACCTTGGAGTCAAGAGGATGGCAGCTAGAAATAGTTTGGGAACCACTGGTTTACATGGTCAAATTGAAGTCACTTGCACAATTTTCAGTATACTGTCAATAACAACAATAATAATAATTAAACCTATGATTGGGTGTGGTCATAGGGTGCTGAACACCTGACCAGTTCCTTGCACATATCTGGATTGAAAGTTAAAGTATTCATTCATGTATAGTATGTCTTGGGCAAGTAGACCTGGAAGTCTCTCCCCTCAAGGTCAGACCACACCCAAATGGCACTTCAAGCTCTCCACCTAGTGATTTAGCTTGTAACTGGTCAAAACTCACTGTAGGTACTGTCTCTTATTTGAAATCCTCATTGGAAAGAACCTAAGAGGTTGTCTGCATAGTTCAGTGCCAGAGGTGATGAACTGAAGGTATTTTTCTGCTGGATGTCAGAGTAAACAGATTGTCATCAAATATAACAATTATTATAGTTATTAATATTAATGTTGTTGTTGTTAAAATAATTGTTTAAATGTTAAATAATAGAAAAAATAATTGACGATACAGAATAAATAGTAAAAAATAAACATGAGGATTCTAAGATGCCTCTCCTACAAATCCAAGAACATGCCAACTTCCTAAAAATGTGTTAAACTGCATGCAACTGTACAACAAATAACATTTTGGTCCGAGATGGAATAAGGAAATAAAAGTGAGAGAAGAAAGATGTGAAGAATATTAAATCATCATCATCGGAGTTGTTATAACTTGAAGACACTGTAATCAGTATAATTGTTCATTTCTGAGCATGCCAATCCCCTGAGGCTTATTTGTATTTTTTGAACAACCACAAACTCAATCTATGGTTTATGTTGCAACTATGCTGAGTGGATCTTAGTTTTACTTTAACTGGACCACATAAGGTTTTGAATTCATAGTTGGCCTTGTCCTAGATTGTTTGACAACCACAGTCTGAGGGGCCATACAAAATTTTAAATTTACAAATGAATAGTCTTTGATATTGTTGTGTGCAAGTTACCTGAAAAGTGAAAAGAAATTATTGCAGTCTAGAATAACTGCATCAAGACCAATTATTTCAAAGTGGAAATGCAACATGTAGGGGAGAAATATAAGTCTATAAATCAGGCATGTCAAACATGTGACCCACACAAAAGATACCTATTTGGTCATTTAATGGCTGAAATTACAGTTTTTATCATTTAGAAATTACAGTATTTAAGAAAATAAATTGCATGTTTTTTATATTTTGATTTATTTTAACAGAATATCAAATAATACCATTTACTGCATAAATTTAAGTTTAATTTTCAACAACTCCATCACCACACATTATGAAATGAACCATCTATTTTATGATAAATATTGTTATATTAAGTGTTTAGTTATGAGAGAAAGGAATAATGAGGATTAGAATTTGAACAACATTTATTGTTAGTATATACATGGTGTTTTACAGATATCACAAAATAGGTGGAACGTCAGTTTCTGGTGTGTTGTCTGGGGTAGTAATCAAGTTTATAAGAAAAACTGAAGTGGCTCCGTACATATGCCGCAAAATAGGTAGAATGTCCAATTCTGGTGTATTGTCTGGATGGCAATCAGAGTTAAGAAGACAGCCAAGAGTTGACCTATTTTTGTGCTGACCGAGGTCACAGGGTATGGCTGGTACATGTATGGTTATGCTAAGGTGATGGCATTGGTTTGGTGAGGTGTTGCTCTGGAGTGGTTAGCAAAGCTACAAACCTGACTATGATGATGCAAGGGTGCAAGTATAAGTAGCTGGGAGAAGTCATGAATCTGACTTTGCTGATGCTGGTATGCTGAGGTGTTATCTAGCTGAAGCCGGACAGCTGAGGTGACCAGTCAAACCTGAGAGCAGCAACAGTTGGTAAGATGAGTGATCATGTTGAGAGATGGTGATCATAATGACAGCAGCAGCAGCACTCTGCATGCCAGCTGGTGGGTGGCAGCTGGGCTGTAACTGTCCTGGTCATTCTCAGAGACCTGCTTTTAAGCAGGTCTGGTAGTCTCCAGGGGCATCCTTTTTTTTCTGGCAGGAATGTTTGTGATTGTCCACTGCCAGAATTCGTTTTGTAGACTGGGTATGGTGTGTGGAGCCTGTATGCAGAAAACAACTTTTTTTATTTCATTTTTTGCCTTCATGGCATTCACATCTGCTCAGCATGCAGAATGAATCAGAAAGAGATGTAATTGCAATATGATAGCCCAATACGCATTTCAAAACTCAAGGAATTGAAGGTTAACTTGACACAGCAACTAACTTTTCTTTTTTTTTTTTTAATGAAAATCAGAAACAGAATGTCATTTTTGTTACTGAAAGCTATGAACTCGATCAAATGATAGCCATGAGTGGGAAATGTTACAGTGAAGGAGATTTCATAAAACAATACATTATAAAAACAGCAGAAATTGTATGTCCATAGAAAGCACACTTATTCAAAGACATTTCATTAACTAGGAACACTGTTGTTGAATGGATTTGAAACAACAGTTGAAGGATGTATCATCAAGGTTTGGACATTTTTCTATTGCTGTTGATGTGACCATTGATATCACTGGAATAGCACAGCTTGCAATCTTCATCAGAGCCTGTGAGAGTGAATTTAATATTTTATGAAGAACTGATTGACCTGGTCCCCATGCATGACACTGTAACAAGCCAGAACAGTTGAGCAAAGTTCTGTATTAGTATAGTTTTGATAGTTGGCAAACATGATGGTGATGCTGCCAAGTTACAAAGAAAAATAGAAAACTTGCATCTAGATACATCATTTGCACTGTATTAACAAAATTTGGTTTCAAAGATTTTAAAATTGGATTGTGTGCTTAGCTTGGTTACAGTGAACTATATCAGAGGCCGTGCTCTCAACCATCATCACTTCAGTTAGTTGTTGGAAGATATGGATAATCAGTTCACTGATATTCCAATCTACACAGAAGTCTGCTGGTTGTCATGTCACAAAGTTCTGAAAAGATTCTATTTCTTGCAACAAGAAATAATTATGTTTTTGGAGATGAAAGATCAAAACACAGATGAAATTGAATGAATTGAAAGTTAACTCCAAGATCTGGATTTTACTGTGGCTATTACTGCACAATTAACTGATCTTAATTTGAAAGTACAAGGTAAAAGCAAACATATCACAAGATGACATCAAGTACTTCATTACAAACCTAAGCTTACGGAAGTCACAGTCGTCAAATAAGATTTAGTTCATTTTTCTACATACAAAGAGCTGAAAAACTCTGCTGATACCGAGACTGTACTTAGCTTTGCTAAGTATGGCAATCATCTGGAATTGTTATCAGAGGAATTTCAGAAAAGATTTAGTGATTTGAACATTAGTTTGCATTATTCTAGACACCGTTCACCTTTGATGTTGCCAAGACAGAAGAAAGCCTGCAGATGGAACTATTAGAAAGGCAGTTGGATTCTACACTAAGAGCAAAGTATCTTGAATTAGGAATACCTGGGTTCTTTTCATACCTTCCTGAAAAGTTTAAAAACATCAGAAAGTTTGCAACAAAAATTATGGCAATGTTTGGTTCTACCTGTGTGTGTGTGTGAACAGTTATTTTCCTTCATGAAATCAATAAAAACTTCTCTGAGAACAAGGCTAACTGATCAACATTGGTCATTTATGATCAAATTCAGAATTGCACAGACATTTCAGCCAGATATACCAAAAATTGTCAGCAAAAAGAGGTGTCAAGCCTCAGGACAAAAGATACTAAAACTGACTGAATAGTGGCAAATAAATGTTCAGTCTTGAACTGTTGTAATTTTCGTAAAATGTATGTGTTGTTGTTACAAACTGCAAGTATGTTGTTTAAAATTTTATTTTTTTTATCAAACTACTTCATTACATTGTATACATGAATCCTGCTAAAACATTTGCATGCACATTATGTGTTTCAAAGTTAAAATATTCTGCAATAAATTTTAGTAAATGACTCCACTTGTAATGTGCACAATTAGTTGTCATGTGTGGCTCTCATGACAACACATATATGTGACCATGCGGCCTTTAGGGGACCCTCAGTTTGACATACCTGCTATAAATCATGAATGTATGCAGAAGGAATAACAAAAATAGACATGGCTGGGAATTGGACAAACAGAAAGACTGGATTTAGTAGATGTTAATAAGGAAAATCGAACCCATCAGGACATGGATGTAGCTGTACCAGTGAATCTCGGTGTGAAGACAAAAGAAAGTGAAAAATGAAAAAAATTACCAGGAACTTACCTGAAAGCTGATAAGGTTTTGTGACATGAAAGTTAAGGTTGAGCCTATTATATTGAAGCAAAAATATATACAAACTTTGTGGGAGAAAATGAAAGTCTATAAGTCATAAGTGTATGCAAGAATCTGGCTCACAACAAATACAAAAATAGACATGGCAGGGTAGTGTTATAAAATAAAATAAGACATATCTCGGCTGATTTACAGGCAAATACTCAAGAGTAAGAACTGGATGTAAACAGGACAAACCCCGTCACAAAATGACCATTATCTTTCTTTACAAATGTTCCTGACACACGTGTTCTGGTCGAAAAATAAAATAATATTTAAAGTGATCTATTTTTCGTCCAATAAAAATGCTTCCCTCCTAATTATACTCGCTTCGTTTTTCGAGCCAGTTAAGCCATAAAAAACCGCTATAAAAGGGGTCACAGGGAAGTTCAACAGGCAGTCAACAGGTGCCCAGAGTAGAGACCTGTCACAGTCAGCTACTGACAGCAGGGGAGCGTCAACCACCGCCAACGTGTGTGAACTACTATGAGAGATTGACCTAGATCCGAAACCAGCTTGTGAACTTTACCACAAGGTAGCTGTCCCAAACCCACACGTTCCTGTTGAAATAAACCACGTAAAAATCTATTTCTGCTGTTGTCGTATTTCTTTCTTGCAACCATACGCTTGTCTATAACACTAGGAACAGTTATACCCTGGGAATTGTGCAAATGAAAATACTGAAATTTGACAACATTAACAAATAGTATTGGAAGCTATTCTTGAAAATAAAAAGAATATGATACTCTGGAACTTTGAGGCCATTCAGTCTCCTGTGATAAATGTCATACATTTGCTGTGAACATGTAAATTGATGATGTGGTGGTTGTTGGTGATTTGTTATGTGATTCCAAGTAATAATAAGGAAACAATACTTCTGGTGTGAAGATATAAATAAATAAAAGTAAAAATAAAGGCTAAGGAAGAAAAGTGCTGGAAATTTTCAGAAACTTATTGTCATTAAAACTCCAGTAATAACCATTGCTAGCAAGTTATTTCTTTTTATGAATTAGGGATCCTATTTTTTTTTTTTTTTTTTTTTTTTTTACAGTTTATCAACCTTTTGTAAGTTATTTAAAGTTGAAAAGTATTTTGGGTTATAGTAATTCTTTTTTGGGTTTTTTTGTGAGTGAATATTTCATTGACAATTTCTTTGGAGATAACAATTTTTCCGGATACAAGTTCTATTATTTAACCCATAGCTAGAGGGAGATGCAATTATACCATTTTGTTTGGTCATGAGTGAATTTGAATTAAAGATAAACACAGTAGTATTAGTTATGAGTATGATAGTAAAACATTTCATGAATGACAAATTCAGTCAAAGTTATATTCACATTCATCATATATTTTTCTGTCTATTCATGTGTATATGTATTGTTTCTTTTTCACTTTCTAGAAATATATTTTATAAAGTTCTATAAATATTTTTTAAATTTGATTTAGAAGGTATTCACTATGATCACCAAGAAGCTACGACTGTTTTATCTATTAGCAGAAATAGCTACTATTTCAATGTACACCAAAACTTTAACATTACCATTTATATTCATCTCCCATCCACTGTTAATAAATTATATAAATTTGTAAAATATCAGTAGAGACAACACATCTTTTTCATCAGTAAAATTAGAAGTATCAAAGTCAGTCTGTTTGAAAAATTAATAAAAATTGGTTCTAGAAATAAAATTTAAATTAAAAAAATTATCCCTAATTTCAAATGATTTGTTTATTTCACAGGATGATCTTAACAAATGTACATCACCACCACTTGGAAACTTTAATCCTATTTTTCATTCAAATTTGCTTGATGAAGAAACAATTGAAGAGTCTGATGAAAGGTAATTTATTTATTTATTTATCTTTTTTTTGTGGTTGAGAATTATATATTTCTTAAATGCAATTTAGGTATTTCAATTTCTTTAGACAATATGTTAAATAAAAAAAAATAACTGATAATACTAATGATCTAAAAAAAATTCAGGTAATATCATATTCTGTTTATTCCTCCATTAATTAGGTGGTACATTGTAGGATGGTAGTGAAAAGACATGGCTATACGATTTCTACTTTTCTCTTTTTAACTGTCGATATAAGATCTTCCAATTTTTTGTCTGATGGTGTCTCACATTGCAGCATTTCTGATACAGTATGCATAAGGAGATGCCAAGGATGGTTCTGTAGCATTTAATTTCTAACACTTGGATTCTTCACTGTTAATGTCTAAGACTTGCAAACATAGAGAAAGATTGAACAGGATAATGCACACAAGAGTCTGATCTTTGATTTAAGGCAAATGAAAGACATAAATTATTTAGAAAAAAAAATGATAAAAAATATGACTCATTCAATCTTTCGCTAACTGGACAAATGATCCCCCCCAATGTTCAATTTTCATTTGAATTAGTGTGAACAGAAACTGGGAATGACCTTATGTGCATTCATCAAATGAACAAAAGATGAAATAATACCATTGTGAGAAAAGTAAACATGAATCCTGATTCCAAATATATTATGTTATGGATTCACATGACACAGTTTGAGATCTATGTTTTTTTTTAATATTAATGTTCACCCAATACAGGGGCCAGGAGCCACTCAAAATAGAGGGTTACTGTATAGTGCTGTATGAGCATAAGAAAAATGAAGTTCATGGGGTTATACAAGAAAGATTATGGTTAACCTTAGACTAAAAAAAAAAAATAAAAATTGTTAAAATTCAGCCATATTATGATTCTCTTTATTAAAAAATATTTCAAAAATGAAATATACTTTTCTGAAACTTGAGGAAGATTAGCTGATTTAAAGTCTAATTAATCTGATTTGAAACAAATAATACTTTTAGTTTTAAATATCGCAAATCACAGGTGAGTGTTTTTATGAAGTATTGGCAACTTTCTCTATGTACTTATGCTTGAGAATTTTTTTTATAAAAAGGCATAACTATAAAAATCACTTGACGAATATAACATGAATGCTTTTTTTATATAATTTTTTAACTACCTATAATTTAAAAAAATTAAGAAAATATTCTAAGTAATCTAATAATTTTTAAATTTTAGGTACTTTGGTTTTATAGTCATACTTATAAATACACTTGTTGAGGAAATATTATAAAATTACCAGTAAATTTTAAATTTACTTTAGCTATTGCTTAAAATTTTATAAATTATTATAATTAAAATTAAACAAAATGAAAACAATTCTTGTAAAAATTCATTATTCATGGAAAAAAAAAATTCTTAAGACAATAGTGTCCTTAATATACCTTATTCATAAAATAATTAAAAGCTTTTCTACTTAAATAATGTCTTAGTCTTATTGCACTTTTTATTTTACAATTCAGAACAGATTTTCAGTAACTGGGGGTCCTGTTTTACAAAGAAATTGATGATTTGAATTCACCAAGGATTTGTGCTTATAACTAATATAAACGTTAAGCACTACAAAAAATAAATTTCTCAAGATTTCATAAATTAAATAATTAGAGGGTAACAGATGTAAAAAAAGAAAAAAGATTTTACCAAGATTTTCTGAAAAAGAAATATTTCTAAAATAATTTCATTCATTTGTGAATATATCCTGAAAGTTCAATTATTTTATTTTTACATGAATTTCCAAATCGGTATGTTTTGGACCATAAAAAGATAAAATTTCTCATACTGATTTATGGTCAATCACTGATGCAAAAAAAAAAAAATTTGAAGGCTCTAAAAAGGATTAAAAACTCTAATTTAATAATCAAAAATCCTTTGGTCTTTCCTCTTAATAATAACATATTTTGATGATGAATCTTTGTTTTTATTAAGTTTGGGACATTTTTTTTATATGCTCTTTCTTTTAACAAATGTTTGGAGGTATATAACTTCAAATGTTATATGGATTAGAGATAAATTCATTAATTCTTTATGTGGTATCTCTTATGACAAAAAGTGGGTAATCTGTTTATAACATGGTTATAAATCAATAGTGAACCCCAAGTTACCAGATTGAGTTACACCAAGCAAATTAGGCAACATCTGAAATTCCAGTAATATTAAATTTTGAATTTACCTTTCTTCATTAGTATCTCAAGTTAGTTAACTTATTTTAAATGTTTTCCAGAAAATCTCATAGTAGTGAAATTCAAAATTTAATAGTGCTGTATTTTTCAAGTTATCTTATGTGACAATACTAGTTTTGCAAGTTACACAATAAAAAAAAAAGAAGATTTTTTTTGGCTTTTTTCTTTATTTAATTTCATATATTGTTCTTTTTCTTTTCTGTTTTTCAGCAAGGATGAATCATGTGATAACAAGGTTTTAATAAATAATGAATCTGAAGATAATAGTAAAGAATTTTCCACAGTGCCTTTATGGCCAGCAGATTATGTACAAAGTAAATTGGCCATTTTGGAATGTGAAGCCTACTGGGATAACAAAGTCAAGGTAAACAAAATCAAGGGTTTTTTCTTTTTATTATTTTAATTATTAGAACATGATTCATTATTAAAATTAGATATTCTTACCTCTTAATTTCATTCCACAACAATAATCTAATGATTATCAATTGTTCTATTCAATTTAATGTTCATTAGACAGGGTAAATCAGAATTCCATAGAAAGTATGTGAGCCTGTCAGCTTTTGATTGTCTTAAAAGGAATTGATATGTTTTTAGATTGATTAGAAAGAAAACACTGTAATAGTAAATTTTTCTATAAACAAAAATATTCATTTCCCCAAGTCATTCATTTTGTTTATTTATTTCATAAAATCATTAAATTTATGCTAAAATGAAAAACGAGGTATATATTTAATATTTCTATTCTATCAGTAATACTTACAGTAATTCTTGATCACTGACAATTGCTTTCTTCCTGATTTTCAGTGCTTTCTTAATCTAAAATCATTGGTATACATTTATATCCCACATATAATAGTCCTATTCTATCAGTAATGTTTATGTTAAATTTTGATTAATTTTTTCAAGAGCACAGGAATTTAGCAGCAGTGTGTAATTTTTACTCATTCAAGAGAGAATGCATCCAAAATGCATCAAATGTTTACCATAAATTGTGGTGTACAAGGCAATATTTTAAACTTGAAAATTCAGTTATCAACTTTTAATAGAGAGCAAATTTGTATATATGTGCCGTGATGTTTGTTAAATTAAGTTTAAACTGTTAAATAAGTTTACCAAATACTAAAAGTAACAATTAAAATTTAATGGTTTTCCTGTTTTAATTTTCTGATGAATCATAACTCTTAAGTTAATGATTGAATAAACTCCATGCTAATTCTGTGACTATAAAACTCTCTAACTTTCAATAGCTTATGTTACATAAATTTTGGCTTCCCAAGTTTTTATTGTTTTCAGTCATTCTTTTTTTTAACTGCATTTTTGCAACCAATTTTTTTGTACAATAACAATTTTTATAACTTGTAAATAAATTTAGGAATAATCAAAATTAATTGTGAAATCCAGCAAAAGTCACCCATAAATAAAAATGTTTGTACAGAAAAGAACGACATATGCACATCAAATTGTCTTTAAATTAAGTGGCAGCTGAAGAATTATCATTAAACTTTTAAAAGGTAAACTTAAATATTAATGCAATATTTAAATGCAGCAATCAATTTTGAGGTCTGTAGTTTATTGTTGCCTATCGCATACAACAGCAGTTTGCATGGCAAAAATTGATTTATACATACCAAAATTAATAATAATATTGCTATATAATATCTACTATTGATAAGATTATTGCAAGATTATTACTTCATAAATATATAATAAAATTATTATTACAATATAGATTCATTGTAAAATTATAATCTTACTATATCATTATTTATATACACACACACACACACACACACAAAGCAAATCAAAATTATATTGTTGCTACTACCACTACAACTACAGGAATATATAGTAAAATTATTGTGTGTGTTTGTTTCAAAAATAGTATTATTTATTATCCTAAGTTATACATGATAGTTCTCCAATAAGCACTATATAATGTTTACCCAACTACTGCTGCTAAAAGCAGTAGTGACTTTAACAAGGTCATTGTCAAATGATAGACATGGCTAGCATTAGGCATGATTGCAAGTTGGATATATTGCTACTAACAACCCAGAAATCTTTAGAATTATTTTAGGCTATCACCAGGTTTTGTCAGTTTTCTGTTTTGTGCCAGAACCATGCAGATGAACCCTCTGACCAATCAGATATATTTCCTCATTTCTGTTCATGTTGTATTAGGTGCATAATTTTTCTCAATATATTGGGTGGGGGGTGTTGGAAAAAGATCACACATTTAGAATTTAAATAAAAGATTTTTTTTTTTTTTTAAACATTAATTTATCAAAGAACAGAACATGGTAATTCTGAAAAGAATAAAAAAAGAACAGTGGAACAATTTTTTTTTTTAGATAATGCAATCATAATAGTGGGCAAGTCAAAACTTGAACCAATTATATTAATTGCTGTTTCCTGTTTGAACCCAGGGCTTTGATAATAATAATAAAAAAAAGCTGGTCTTAAACTTAGTTGGGGAAGATTAGAAGATATTCTTAAAAAAAAAAAATAAATAAAAATAAACTTTCTCAACTTCAAAAATTAATCAGGTATTCTGATATTGAGTTGGAATTAAATCCTTGGCATCTGTGACTAAATAAAAAAAAATATATAAGAATATAAAAGAAAACCATAGAAATGGAAATAATCTCCGCATTTAAATTTGAAAATTTTAATTATATACTTTATAATTGGTATTAGAATGACAATAGGAAAAAAAATCTTAGTTTTAGCTGATGCGTTTTGTCTTCTGGCTTTATCAAGGCAAAAATAAAAGTGAAATGTTTTTGTTTTCATAGTTATATTGAATCCAAAATTTAAAAAGAGTCATGCTCATGCATAAGCCTCTTTCAGTCTAATGTTAATTTCCTTTATACTAGGAAATTTTTTTTTCCATGTCGACAATATAGTAAAATTCCCAGAACAATTCTGTGGATAAGACAAATTTGTATAAGAATAACAATAGGAAAAAAATCTTAGTTTTTGCCAATGCGTTTTTTGAAAAATCAAAAATTATTTTATTTTTTTAATAAATAAATAAAATTGATTGTAATTCACACAAATATTATTATGATCTCCTACTGGTTTGGATGGTCAATCCTACTGTTACTCATTTTTGTTTCATTGCTCTGTCATTTCCTGTTCCTGCATTATCAAAAACACAGTTTTCTTAGCATTGTCACTTGGTAGTGTTTTTTTATTTTCACTGTCAACACGTGTCAACATCAGTAATCTGGCAGGTAATCAGATTCTATAGGGATTTCATCCAGTGGTCATAATAATTCTGTGGAGATACAGGTGTGAAATCTCTACATCTTGTGCTAACTTCTTTGCTGAAAACTAATTTAAAATTTATCAACTCTGTTGATATCTAACAATGGGTTTAATGATAACAATTTGAAGGATTTCAAAAAAATAATATAAGGTGTAAAGAATTTGAATCTTTTTATTTAGCCTGCTTTGGCAGTCTGAAAGACTGCCAAAGCAGGCTAAATAAAAAGATTCAAATTCAGGAAAACAAATTCTAGTGTTAATTCATAAGAAATGGAGAGATGTTAAAGCTGCAACCAGACAAAGAGGCATAAGATGATTAAAATCAAACAGACTATCTTGTCACCTGATCTCTATCTGTATCCTCTTTGTATTGTCTGGTTTATATAAGAATTTTACAAACTTCTGTCATTGATTTATTTAGGTAGTTCCACTAATTTCCAATATCTAAGATTTAAAATGGATTTTTGTAAATCAAAAAGCTTCTTGAAGCTTTCATTTTAGCTTTAATTGAAACCTATAGGATTAAATTTACTATTTCCAGTAAGTAAAATACTCTGGTGTATTTTAAATAGAAATTATATTGATGGGAATCAATATCTTTTTTTTTTTTTTTTTTTTTAAATTTATCTTCTTTTTTTTTTTCTAATATAGATGATTAGCACCCTTTTTTTTTAGTCATCTATCATCACAATGCAATTCTCTGTATTAAAAAGTCTTCCAGAAATAAAATATACTCTTCTGAAACATTATTTGAGAAATATTAGCTGATTTAAAGTACAATTAATCTGATTTGGAAAAAATATTTACAAGTTAAAAATAATACAGCAATCTATTTTTAAAACAAACAGTAGCTGTGTTTTTAACCAACACCACCATTGATTGACAAGGCAATGACTGATTGTTGTTCTATGGAGATGTTATCTGTTAAAATATAATTAAGAAAATGACATGAACGCCTTTTTTATATAATTTTTAAGTACTCTGTAATCTTAAAAATGTTGGAAAATATTCTCCATAATCTAATTTTAGGAATGTTGACTTTAAATTTACTATAGTCATTGCTCTTATTTTCTGATAAGGTCATGTATGGTCAACCATACTTTCAAAAATGGGCATTTTACATAATATTTTATATACATAATAATATTTGATTAGTAAATATAGTTTTCACTTAATAACAATATCACATAACAAGATTAAAGTAATGTAGAATTTTAAAAGATTTTTAAAAAATTATTATAATAAAAACTTTAAAAATGAAAACACTTCTAGTAAAAATTCATTATTCATCAGAAAAAACTTTTTTCTTAAAACAATAGTGTCCTTAATAAATCTTATTTATAAAAGCAATTAAGCTTTCCTAATTAAATAATGTCAGTTTTATTGCATTTTTTATTTTATGATTTGGAGCCACTTTTTGGGAAAAGAGTAGCAGTTTAAAAAAATTAAATTGTTGATTCACATTCTCCAAGGAGTCCTGCTTTAACTAATAAAGCAAATTTAGGGACTGAAATTTAATTTCTTGAAATTTCATAAAATTAAGTAACATATATAAAAAAAGACATATTTTTACCAAGATTTTCTAAATAGTTTCATTTGATTTTTGCAAGAATTTTCAAATCAATGTATTTTTCACCAGAGAAAAAGGTTCTAAAACACTAAAATTAAATATTGTTGACCACTAATGCAAAAAAGAAAAGATTTTTAACCAAAATTTCAAATGTGCTAGAAAGGATTAAAAACTAATAAAATGATATAAAAATACTTTGGTGTTTCCTTTTATAATAACAAACATTTTGAGGATAAAACTTTTTTTTATTAATTTTGAGGCTTTTTTTATCATGCTATGCCATTTCTTCAGTGAATTAGTAGAGGTACCTAGATTTATTTCATGTTTTTCGATGATATGACCATTCTTTGTTTGAATAGCAGATGTTCCATTTTTGGTGTTTGATAGTATCAAACTGTATACCAATGTGTATTTATTTATATATTTCCTGCCCCATCTGTAGGTAAATCAACTTAAGTTAGTAAATTTAAGAGTGATTATTTCCCTTAATCATTTTAATAATCAATACAAATAAAATATTTATT